GCAACTTTAAGAAGTGAGGACTTCAACTCCCAGAATCCCCCAGCCAGCATGCTTTAAGATGAGTGGACTTCAACTCCCAGAATCCCCCAGCCACCATGCTTTACGATGGGTGGACCAACTCCCAGAATCCCCCAGCCAGCATGCTTTAAGATGAGTGGACTTCAACTCCCAGAATCCCCCAGCCACCATGCTTTACGATGGGTGGACCAACTCCCAGAATCCCCCAGCCAGCATGCTTTAAGATGAGTGGACTTCAACTCCCAGAATCCCCCAGCCACCATGCTTTACGATGGGTGGACCAACTCCCAGAATCCCCCAGCCAGCATGCTTTAAGATGCATAAACTTCAACTCCCAGAATTCCCAGCATGCTGGCTGGGGAATTCTGGGAGTTGAAGTCCACCCATCTTAAAGTTGCCAAGTTTGAAAAACACTGGAATAAGGGCCACTTTACTAAGAGGGGAAAAAGCACTTCTCTGAGCACAGAAAGAGGGGGAAAATCAAAACCTGGACCTTTCTTCCTTGCACCACTGGTGTGTGTGTTTTGCACAGACAAGGCTACCCCCGTCGTACTGGGGCAGGCCAGCACAGACGGACCACCCCCGGGCCAGGAGCCTCTCCTCGGAAAACCTGCTCACCCTCAAAAACCGGAGCAGAAACTTTCTGGAACTGCTGATGTCGATACTGGAGATGTGCCCGTAGCCGCCCAACATCCCGTCCACGGTGGGAGGAACGTCCTTCCAGTATTTCTCCGCTTTGGAGTAGAATTCCAGTTCGTCTTCCACCAGGTCGCTGGCCATGGGTGCGGCTTTCCTCGGGCACCGCAAGGCAGGGCCGCGGGGTTGGCGGGCTTGTCTTCGTAAGGGGAGAAAAAAACAGGAAGGGACAGACGGGGGGGGGCGAAAAAGCAGCACAATTAATTGCGAAGATCGAAAGCAACGTCGGGGAGAAGGCCCTACCGTTTTAAGGGGAAAGACGCAGCAATGGGATTTTGCACCCGTCTCCCAAAGTGCTGAGCTGGGGTCCATCCATCAATCAAATCTTTAGCTGAGTGGGGGGGCCAAGTCCCCCCTTGGCTCAGCTTACTCTGGACCCCCAATTCTTGCCTCCCGTTCCTCCCCCTCCCTCTCTTGCAAAGCAAAGCCACGGCGGCCCTCAACCCTCGAAAAGTTGTGGTCCCCTAATTTTACCAAATCTTGGTCCAAACCCAATGCTCCCCCCCCCCCCGCCCTCCCCCCCCCGCGGCATTCCAAAGAATAAAATCAAATAGGGGGAAAATTAAAAAGAATAGGGGATGTGTTGGGGCAATCTCCAAAC